TTCTTGGACGTCAGAGCTAGGAACCAGAGACAAGGGCACACTCTGTGCCTCAGACTCCAACACAGATCCTTTAGGTGCTCACTTTTCATCACTCTCTAATTTATACAAAAGCTACCACTGGCTACACTTTTGAATCACATGACCTTGCTTCAAAAAATGACCCTCTAGGATTCTTTCTAATGTGCTGAAATACATTCTAGTGGACTCATTTCAATAACAACTTTACTTCTTGTGTTATTCATTCTTAATGCTATCTACATTTCCAAACTTAGCAGTATCTATTAGTAGTTCTTCTCTTTTCCTTATCTTTATTCCCTGTATACTACACCTTACACACACTGGCTATCTCTGAGTCACCCAACACCAATATTCTTTTTTATATTACTAACAAGCAATGCATACAAAAGGATGACATGTTCTGCACAATCTCCAAGGAATTGCAGTATGACACGACGTAAAACGAGTTTCTGAAAACACTGCCTAAAGTAATCATCAGAAGTATATGCTGATGTAAGCCTGGAGTTCACAAGCCTTGACTGTTTACATGGTTTCTAAAACCTCATGTGACTGCTCAGTGTTGTTCAAACACTTGTCAAACTCAGAGGTGCTTGATGCTGTCACCATTTCCTGGGAGAAGCTGTCCCAGTGGCTGACCATGCTCTGGGTGAAAAACCTTTTCCTAATATTCAAATATAACCTGCCCTGAGCCAGCTGCCTGCCCTTTTCTTGACTCCTGTCACTGGTCACAAGCGTGAAGAGATCTGCACCTGCCCCTGTGATTCCTCTCAGGAGGATGCTGAAGACCCCAAAGACTCTCTTTAGTCTCCTCTTCTCTGGGCTCAACTAAGTGACCTCAGCTGCACCAAGGCCTTCCCCTCCATACCCTGTCCCATCCTTGCTGCCCTCCTTTGCATTCTGTCTAATGGCTTGATAGCTTTTGATATTGTGCTGCCCAAAACTGCACCTCTCTGCTTTCAGTGCTTCTCCTGGCTGCTCCTTCAGGCTGCTGGCACCATCAGCAGAGACACAGAACAGCTTCTCCTGCCAGAGTTAGCCCTATCATCTGCACTTCCCCACATGTCTGCCTTGATGTTCACTGGGGACCTCCCTGGCAGGTTCAAAAGCTAAACTTGAACATTTTTCACATGCTTGCTTAACATATTTATTCACTTACATGAGGCGTATTTCTGCTGAAACTACAAACTTCTATACTTACTTCAAGTCTGTGCAACTTTATAGTTCTAAAGCTTCAAGCCTTCTCCAAGGTCTCAGGTCAAACTTTGCATCCATCTCTATCTCGGAGCCTGTATGCTCAAGGCCTTGAAAGCTTTCTATGCCTGCATTCCCCACATCTGCCTGTGTCACAGCCTGTGCGGGTTTAGGATGGTCACCAGACAGGACGTGTCCCAAGGAGGCTGTGCCAGCTTCTGTGCAAGGCCCCGTGCCCTTCCTGCTGCGGCTGTGTCGGCAGCCCTGGGGCTCCTTCTGCTGCCCTGAGCCTGCAGAGCAGGGCAGCGTTTGCTGATGGTTTGAGCTGTTCTTAAAGATCCTGTCAGGTGGCCTTAGACATTTGGAGTGAGGGATTCCTTGCACCTGGGCCAATTTGGGTGGGCTGGGGGTGGCCTGAGGGCAGGTGGCCGTGTGTGCAAGGGCCCTTTGTGACATGGTGCAGCATGGTCACCATGGCATGGCACAGGACAGGGTGTCAAAGGGCCCATGTGACATGTGGTGACATAGGAGCTGGTGGTGACACAGCCACACCACAGTGCTTGGTGCATGCGACAGGACAGGACACACCAGAGCGGTGCTGTGAGGAGCCCCTGCACAGCACACTCGTTTCTGTCAGACCCGGAGCTTTTCTGAAGTGTTATTCCTACACGTGACCTCGAGGCCAGACCTCTGTCCTTGACGAGGAGCCTCCCGTCCTTGTGGCACGAGGCCTCAAGGCCCAAGAGCAGGACTTGTCCTGTGGTCTTGCCAGGACTTCAGTCTTGCAGGTGCCTTCCAGCCACAACTGCAGCACTTGCTGACGTGAAGCTGTTGCAAGGCATCGCTCCTGCAAGTAGCCATATATCCAATCACTGGCATGGAGCAGAGAGCCCTGAGAGCACCCAAATTGGCCTGGGTGGAGGAGGAGGAAGAAGGAGGCCCTGGAGCTTCCCCAGAACAGATGACTAAAGAGGTGCAGCAGTCCCAACTGCTGCAGGAGGGTGAGTGGCAGAGCTGGGCCACAAGGCTGGGCCCTGCATCCAGCTGGGTCCTGTCCCATCCCATCCCATCCTCTGGGGACACACCCATGGACAGGACCAGAGAAGGGCCAAGGCTGTGCCTTGGCAGAGGCTGTGCTGCATTAACCGGGGGCATCCCAGAGCTGTCCTTGCCTGGGGAGTGCACGGCTGGGCTGTGTTCTCTGGCCTCACCTGTAGCCCCTCAGCTCTGGCTGCTCTTTGCCAGATGCAGCCATGGACCAGACTCAAGAGCAGGACCCCGCCTGCGGCCTCATCTCCAGAACAGCACAAGTACCTGCAGCCATCCCCACCTGGGCTGGGCCTGCTGGCACTGCCCAGCCAAGCACCGAGCTTGGAGCACTCCATGCAATATCCCTCTCTTCCTGCCCTTCTTTCTCCTGCCTGACTTGCAAATTCATCAAGTGCATTTGGGAAGAAGAGACCAGCATCATGGGCACTGTGTCCATGGAAAACTGTGATGCCTACACCACTGACACCAGTGCTACCATGCTGAAATGGATTTTGGAGAAGGCTCTTTGCAGTCCAAAGCAAGTAAACCCTGTGGCCAGGGTTTGATCCTCCAGGAATTGCTTGGCCTCCCAAGCCACACCTGCTGCTCACTCTAAGCCTTGGAGGCCATTGCAGTGTGATGAGAAGGAAAGCATTTCTCTGGGGAAGCTGGGGACATTCCTGACTCCCTCTGACAGCTTTCCAACTCTCCCCATGCCTTCTCCAGGTGCCAACCATCGTGAGGTGCATCCACCAGGTGCTCATGACCAATGAATCTGCTGAGCACAGGCTGGAGAGGACCCTGCTGGATCTCACCGAGGCACAGCCCGACGATGTGGTCATTACTCTCCTGCGTGTGGCCCCAACGTGCGACAGGTATGGGGCCCACCTGTCCAGAGGGCTCACGGCTCCCCAGCCCATTGCCCTGTACAGCCTGGCCCAGGTGTGTCACCAACAGAGAGTTCCAGGGGCCTCTGGCTGCTCCCCTTCCCAGCCCTGGCATGTCAGCCCCTGAGCCTGCTGCCATGCTGCCACCCTGCCCCTCAGCAGCCTGTCCCCACAGGCCTGGGCTGCCTGGCTGCTGCTGCTGCTGCTGCTGAGGGGCAGTGGGCAGAGGCAGAGCTGGCAGCCAGCTCAGCTCCCTGCTGCTACCCAGGCCATGGGGATGTGTCTGAGACCCTGTGCCTGACATGGAGCTCTGACCCCGCAGAGCTGCAATGACCATATGGAAGAAGATCTTGTGCTCACCCAGGACTGCGGAGCGGGCACTCCTGATACTCCTGGATGTGCTGGGGGACTGGCCAGAGCACAGCAGGTGCACCTCGGATTGGAAGACCACGGGTGTCTTTGCCCTGGCTGTGAGTTTCTGGAACTGGCCTGCACTCACCCCAAGGCTGCCTCTCCAGCAGCTCTGCACCCTCCTTCCCCCACTGCATCTCCCTGCCTCGGGCACTGGGCTGAAACCTGGCCTAGGGGCAGCTTCAGGGCCACCAGGCCAGGTTCTCTCCCTGCGTCTTCCCCGGCCTCTCCCTGCCACACTCAGGCCCTGCTACACGGACACCTGGACACTGAGCCCTGTCTCAGGCTGCTTTGTCCCCTGCAGGCAACTGTGGTGATGTGGAAGATCCTCCAGGTGCCCTGCTGGCCAGAAGCTTTAACAGTGTATTTCCCCCAGCTCTTTGTGCATCTGCTCCTCCAAGTGTTCTTCAGCACAGAACAGATGCCAGAGGAGGGCTGGAACTTCTGGAAGAGATGCCAGGAAGAACACGGCTTTGCCACCAGCCCCAACAGGTGCTCCATCCCAGTCCTCCTGCCCCTGCCACGTCCCAAGGGCAGAAGCCAGTGCTCCCAGCATGACCTGGACTTTGCTGTGCACACAGGTTTGCAGTGCAGACCCTCAAGTTTCTCCTCTGCCAAATGCACCATGAGGAAGTGGTGCTGTCAATGGAACGCAAGTGTGGCTGGGACACACTGCTGTGTGCTGACACCCACCACTGTGCCGTGGGTCTGCTGGCCAGGTGAGACCCCCTTCTCCCCACTGCATCTGACATTTCTGCCCTGGGCCCAGGGCCTGGCCCAATACCGTCCCCGTGCTTGTGGGCCAGAGGGCCTTGTTAGCAAGGGATGGCCAAGCAGACTGGGAAAAGGCTGGGAGAGGAAAGAGCCCACAAGGAGCTGCCTCCCAAGGAGCCCATGTCCACTCACATCCTTGGGGAGAAAGACCAGGCCCATGGGAGTGAGTCCCCTGGCAGAGATTTGCTCAGGGTCCTGGTCCCATTTTTACCCTGTCAGGGAGATGCGCCACGCTTCTCTAGGGTTGTATTCCAGAACTGCATTGCACTTCCTCTGGCTGCTCAGCACACAAGAGCCACGCTGGGATCTGCCCGCCCTGGCATTCCTTGTGGAGGTGAGCCTGATGGCCAGCACTACCTCCCTGAGCTGCCTGCCAGCTCTCTGCCCTCTCATAGCCCCAGCTGCCTGGGACGCTGCCCGTGCCCTGTGCTGCTGCCTGGGCCCGGCCCTGTGCGGTTCCAGGCTTCTGCCGGCTGGCTTCCCTGTCACTGCCCTGTGCCTTTCAGATCCCAGAGTACCTGGACTCCAGTGAATGCACTGACAGTGTTGTGCAGGTCTCCTCAAGGTGCCTGCAGAGCGAGTGCAGGGAGAGGCGTCACCTGGCGCTCAGGGCCCTTCTCAAGTTCATTGACCATCCCTCCATGGTGAGAAGGGGACAGTGGCTGAAGCTGGGGAATGCAGTCACTTGGGCTTGGCTGGGCTTGGAGCTCTGAGGCAGCTGCTCCCAGCTCTCCTGACTCCTGCTTCAGCTGCCCCAGTGCTTAGGGACTGGCCTTTGCACTCTGGGTTCTGCCACAGGAGCAAGCTGCGATTTCACACACTTGTGTTCCACACAGGCGAAAAAAATGTGGAGCCTGACTGAAACACTCATGGACCTACTTCAGGACAAAGATGCAGACATAATTGGGATGTCACTCATCATACTCAGCTTCATATTCACCTACAAATACATTGTGGTACCCAGCCCCATTGCCCTGCAGCTGGCTGAGGCGCTCCTGCCGCTCTTCGACCACGTAAGGCTCTGTGCCCTCAGCCACGGGCACTGAGTGCTGCCCAGACACTTTGTACTCTGTGGATTTTCAGGCCTGTGCCAATGTGAGCCTGGAGCACACAATGCTAACATCAACTAACATCATTTACCCTTCCTTTCTTACAGGAGAATAGCCAGGTTCAGCTGCTCTCTATAGGGCTCTTCCGAGGTACAATGGACTTTTTGGGAAGGGGAAAAAATCCTCTGGAGATGCCTGTGCGCCAGAGCCTCCTGCCCC